GAAGTAGAAGTAGGAGTAGTAGTAGTAGTAGTAGTAGTAGTAGTAGTAGTTGTTGTAGTTGTAGTTGTAGTTGACCAGGTCCTTCGGACCACGCTGGTGCAGTTGGCGGGCACATACGGTTCGGGCCTGCTTGACCGGCTTAAACAGCCAGCACACAGAGCAGACATTTTCCGCTACATTCACCACTTCCAGAATGGAAACTGCTTGCAGCAGACTGGGGCACCGCCCAAGCAACAGCGGCAGGAGGGGTGGGGCACCGTCCCTCACCACCTGGCCAACTCCCGCACGAATTTATGGTGATGGCCATTGGCGTCAAGGCAGATCATATCTTCCAGGGCATCATGTGTGGCAAGCCTCGCCATCCTTTGATGGGTGAGGCAATTCAACATGCCTTTGGCAGGCAGGTCTTTGCGGCCAGGGCAAATGGACTACATGATTTTCTGCAAGTTCCTTTGGCACATCCTGGGCAAGGACCTAGGCCAGCAACCTCAGCCTGGCTGAAACGTCTCTAGGACGTACGGCCCTGTCTACCTCTTCCAGGAGAAGCATGACTCTCGGCGCCAGGACAGAACATATGACAACGAGGGACACTACTTTGTGTCCGGCAGCGGGGCTCTGGTCGCCTACACGCGTGGAAATGGCAGAAGGGTTTTCAGGGCGATCCCACGACCAAGGAGCGCACGGACCGCGTGCTGCAAGGCCAGGTCCTAGGAGCACCGCTCACAAAGGCAACGGGCACCGCCCCCAGCCAAGGCCTCCTCGGCCCCTCCTCCAACACCGGACGACATTGAGCCACATGTTGCAGATGGCATCCGGGACAACACCTTCGCCTCGATCATGGTAACTGTCCGCGAGACCCATTACTACAATCAAGACCTCATGGAGCAGGATGTGTTGGAGCTGATTCCCAGGGGCCTTGGCTTGACGGAGGTGGCGGGATCCACATGGCTATGTTGCCGCCACTGCTTTAAGCACGACCGCAACGTCCAATTTAGCACTGGCCATGGCATTCGCAACCACTTCCGCAGCTCCAGGCACGATGACCTGCCTCAGGACAGTGCCCCTGCAGTTGTAACAGCGAAGACGATTCCTCACAAGACCCGCACCAAAGGCGTCGACAGAGCTGGAGGCTTTGACCTCCCGCCTCTCCCCCCTGCCCTTTTACCTCAACAACAGGCGCAGCAGTCAGCTGCCAATCCCACTCTTCCGGTTAAGGCTGCCCCATGTTTTTCTTCCCCAAGCCGCCCAAAGCTCAAAACACGCGCGCCGGGCTCCTCCCCAGGCGGTTCCAGCGGCCACCACCCCTCCCCATGCTCCCAAGGGAGATCCGCCCCCTCAGGTTGATTACGTGTCTCAGCCGGCCCCTGCAGCCGAAAAGATTTACTCCAGGCAGGAGCTGGTTCAGATGCTGGGCTCTCCCTCCCTCCATGACTGGGTCCGTGTGCTCGCCACCATCAACATCGTGGGCAACCCCATCATCATCGGAGGCCTTTCGAACCAGGAGCAGCAGCCACTGTGGTCGTCACGCATTGACTCGCGCAAGCAAGTACCACCACTTTTCGAGGCCATCAAGAAGGTCAAGACCAAAAACGGTTTGACCTGGGACCTCGCGATGTCCGTGCGGAGAGTTCTGAACAGTGAAGGTCATGTCACCATCTGGCCAGGACGACACCTACGCTCGCGATGCCGATGAAGGTCCATGGCCTCATCAACACGTGCTTTAATCGCATGTGGGAAGAGCCTTCCTTTCTACGACATTTCCCCACCAGGGTCGAGTTCAACTTGATTGCGGCGTCCATCTCGACTGTCTACAATGAGGCTGCACGTTCCGCAGGCCTGGAAGCGCGGATGTTCAAGGTCAAGCCCAACAGGGACTCGAACCTTACCCTGATGAAGATGAAGATTGGTCATGCCAAGGGGGCCGAAGAAGACAAGAAGCCGGGTCCAAAGTCAACGGCAGCCCCTACCAAGCGCCCTCAAGCCAGAAAGACAGACCAGGAGGGGAAGCGGCCTCGGGACTCTGAGCCTTCTTCCTCGTCCAGCCAATGGTCTCGCCCAGCGCACACACCATCATACGAAGCTGACTGGGACTGGCAGTGGCAGAACTGGAACTGGAGCGGCTACTACCCCCAGTATCCCGTGGTCCCAGCACCCAAGTCAGCGTTGAGCTAGGGACCCAAAGTCCGCATTTCTTGTACTATACCGGCAGCCTGGCACCGCCACGCATGCCTCCCACGTGCACGCACCGCCTCCGGGATTCAAAATAGCTGCCGCTTCTGACTGCTAAGTGCATTTCTTCGGAAGCCTGCACGCCAACGCGCGCGAGCCTGGATGAAAACAGTCGGCTCGCAGTGAGCAGCTTGCCCTGTTCCGAATTGATCATCAGCAAAGTCTGGCCGTTGGCATTTTCTGCAGGTGCCACAAGATCCTGGTCGTCATTCCCTTACGGCCCATCGCTTGAAGCAGGAGTTACCTAGTGTGGGACGCCACTAGACGGGAACTCAGGGTGCCGGCTCTCTCGGGAGTACGTCTCAACTGCTTTCAAGTACGTGAGCATCGGACGCGTTGGCTCACACTTAGGGTGTCGGAGGAGGTTGTTTGCTTGCCTCTAGTAGAGTCGAGTTAGTTGAGAGGACAATTCTGAGCGAAAGATGCAGCAGCTTTTGAGTCTCACGAGTGCATGGGAGCAAAGGTGCCCGCAAAGCGCAGAGCACGCTCGCGCAGCGTTCAATTGAATAATTGTAGTTGTAGTTGTAGTTGAACTGTAGTTGTAGTAGGAGGAGTAATAGTAGTAGGGGGAGGAGTAGTAGTAGTAGTAGTAGTAGTAGCAGGAGCAGGAGCAGGAGCAGGAGCAGGAGCAGGAGCAGGAGCAGGAGCAGGAGCAGGAGCAGCAGCAGTGGCAGTAGCAGTAGCAACAGTAGTAGTATGTAGTAGTAGTATCAGCAGTACTTAGCTCTTGTGATTTTTTTGTTTGTGTTCGCGTTCTTGTGCATGTTCTTGTTCTTCCTCTCTTGCTGTTGTTGTTGTTGTCGTTGCTGTTTGTTTGTTTTTTGTTGTTGTAGTCGTCGTCGTAGGTTGTAGTCGTAGTGGTAGTAGTAGTCGTCGTCGTAGTAGTAGTAGTAGAAGTAACAATAGTTGTTGTTGGTAACGGCTGTGTAACGGATCCCATGCTTTTCGCCTTGTCAGGTTTTCGTGGCCCTGCCGACAAAGTCGGCCTCGGAGGGGTGGGGGGGGGTACGGGGGGGTATAGGGCCGTTTTGAAAACGCGATTTTCGGGTGCATCCAACCATCCACTCAGAACCCATCCGTTCACGCAGAGCATCCATGGGCCAACCATGTTAACGTCCAGATCAGACCATATCCATTGCCGCAGAGCATCCATGGGCCAACCATGTTAACGTCCAGATCAGACCAGATCCATTGCCGCAGACCATCCATGGGCCAACCATGTTAACGTCCCCTCAGACCCCATCCGTTCACGCAAAGCATCCATGGGCCAACCATGGTAACGTCCAGATAAGACCAGATCCATTGCCGCAGAGCATCCATGGGCTAACCATGATCACGTCCAGATCAGACCGTATCCGTTCACGCAGAGCATCCATGGGCCAACCATGATCACGCCCAGATCAGACCATATCCATTGCCGCAGAGCATCCATGGGCCAACCATGATCACGTCCAGATCAGACCATATCCATTGCCGCAAAGCATCCATGGGCCAACCATGTTAACGTCCGCTCAGACCATACCCATTGCCGCAGAGCATCCATGGGCCAACCACGTCAACGTCCAGATCAGACCAGATCCATTGCCGCAGAGCATCCATGGGCCAACCATGTTAACGTCCACTCAGACCCCATCCGTTCACGCAGCGCATCCATGTGCTCTGCTGTGGATGCTGTTGTTGCCCGTACATGTTTTTGTTGCTGCTAAAGCGATCGGATCCCGTTTTTTGCAGTTTCCGTGTTGTTCGCTTTTGGCCATAAAACAAGTACATGCAATCCTGTGATGCGCAAAAACCCAAGCGAAAACGCATTTCGCTATTAATGTAGAACGCTGCCAACGTGCTAAAATCGCACGGCGCCAAAAAAAACATTTTTCAAGAGCCATTTTTCGCTGCTGTCAAAACAGGTTTTTGCACGCAGGCGTGTCCAAAACCCAAGCGAAAACCTATTTTCGAAGAAAAAATGAGATAACCGAAAATCGCGTTTTCAAAAAATGACCCTATTACCACCGCCCCCTCCCCCCCCCACCCCGCCAGGTCCAACTTTGCCGGTGGGAGCGGCGTTTTCGCTGTCTAAAACCACAAAAACCCTGGGATCCGTTACGCTGTCGTGACCTTGTTGTTGTCGTTGTTTTTCTTGTTCATGGTATTGTTCTTGCTTCTTGCTCTTGCTCGTCTTCTTCTTGTCGTTGCGGTTGTGGTTGTGATTGCAGTTGTGGTTGCGGTTGTGGTAGTTGGCGGCTGCGGAGGCGGCGGTGTTTTGTTGGAACCACAGGAGTGATTGTTGGCAAGCACCGAAGCCACGTTCGGAAAGTGCAAACACCTCTCTGCGCTTCAGGCAGTCGCAACCCTTTAAACCTGACAAGGCCCAAGCCCAACGGGAGACTTGGACTGCAACTTGCAAGCCAACGGCCAAATAAAAGCACAACACAGGCGGCGACCGGTAAGTCCCAAAAGGAGTGGGCCCTCAATCGGAAACTTTCGGCTTACAGAAAAGATGTACCTGGAACGAACGGAGCGGATGAGTTTTCAATGCAGAATCTGAGGACTTAGTCAAATCATGTGGGCACGAAGGGTGGAAGATCGATGTGAATCGGAACATCAGAGTTTGATGCAAAGGCGGTGGTGGCGGTTGTGTCTCCGTGTACGCATTAAGACGATGCTGAGTGCTAGGAGGATGACGACAGTTGTGCGAGTGATGGCTTGACTGCTGACGCCGATGTCCAGAATGAATGGCAAGGCCAAGAAAAGAGTTATTGTCTTGGCATTGCCAGGCAACTACACTGGTGGATGGCTTTGGATGGACACGCATGGAGAAATGGGCCGCGCAACCGACGTAAGGTGTGGTTCCCAGCACAGGCTGGGGTTTGAGCTTCAACTCGGCAAGTGCTGGAGTTGCTCAGGAGAAAATGGCTGAAGTTCGATGGCCGGAAGCCGCATTGTGTGCAGACCTGAGCTCGGCCCCAGACGAATCGCTTGGGCAATCTGTCCTGGCCTGGCGTCAGGTAACACCTTTTCGTGGGCGCAGATACACTCTGGTCTGTGCCTTAAAACATGCAGCCTTTTATCCCAAATGGTTGCCCGCAACCTGTGATATTACTAGTGCTCAGCAAGGAGGTGGCAGAGCTATTTTCAACGCCCCTGCTTTTTGTTGCAGGGTTTGCATACTCGCTAGTTTGCAGAAAACTTTCCCAGGACAGAACATAATTAGTTACATATAATTACCTTCCATCTCCGAAGTGACTTTGTAGACCCTGTGCAGCATCTTTTTCCCTTTTTCTTAAGCTGGTTTGCCCTTGCCCTGTTGCATTTCGTCGATGTTTGCAGTCTGACTGCGGTGCCCTGCTTTGCCTGGCCGTTCCATATTCTAAGGAATTGAGCCGATGAATCAAGTTGTAGTGCCTCGAGCAAGCGGTCGGTTCAGGAACAGAGCATTGAAACTCTGCTTTCCCCGTTTTCGGATACAATAATCGCATCTTGGTGGACTGTGGAACCCATCGTTGGTTGCCCTTTTTTCTTGGTCAATGCAGTTCGTTTGCGTCTTCATTCCATCCGGCGTAGATCCAGCGGCGTGTGAGCCATTTCGACGGCAGATGTGATTTGGATTGTTGCAGCTAGAATCTGCGGCTTTCTTGGTGATCCAGAAGATAGAGGCAACAGATCAAGCACCTGATTGGCATCGGCTGAAGCATAAAGAGATGCTAACAGCAGTGGCTTGCCGAAACGCCGCAAACCTTGGCCTTGGCTTCGAGGTGTTCTTCACGTATTCCAACCCGCAGAAATCGACGTCCTTGTGCCGGCAGGACCTTGCTCCTTGAACATCTTGAACTTACGGTGACGTGAGTTTGGTTGGCTTTGCACGTTGATGACCCTTGCCCCTTCCGTAGGGACCCAGGCCTGTAGTGCACTCGGCATGTTCTAGGAGGAAGAGTATCTTCGTGCCTTGGCATTCCCACTCCCGGCGCAGGCAGATTTTTTCACAGCAGCTGCAGCAGCTGCAGTAGTGCGAAGCGATCCGAGGGCAGCTAGCTGCCAGCAGTTTATGCGCCATTTGTTTCCGACTCTGGCAGAGATGTTCCAAGGAATGGCTTTTTTCCTTCAGAACCAACAGGCCTTATTTGTCCTATGGCAGGTGTGCAGCAACCGTGCAAGTGCTGCTTCTGTCAGCAGGCGGGCCATGCGGGCCAATGGGCCGACATGCAGCCCTTTTAGCACACATCCCGGCAAATCCTCGTGCCTGAAGGCCGCTGCCCTGTCCGACTTTGAGTGTACAAGCCGCACGCTACAGCTTTCAGCGCTTCAAGCAGAAGGTCGGTTCCTGAGATGCTTCGACTGGGCAAAACCTGATATTCGCGTTAAAAGAACGGCCCAGTAGTTGATGCTGGTAAAGGCAAAGAGGCAAAGTCACAGTAGGTATCTCGCGAGGCAATCAGTCACAACTGGGAGCGTTAACCGTTGGAAATGGTAGCACTTCCACGTTGCCGCTCCACGTGCAGGTGTGTCGTGTGTGCTATGGGAGGTATTCTTAGCTTGTCGCCTTCGACGCATCCAGATCTCTGACGTGTGGCCTTGAGGTGGCTGCTCGTGGCGGGCTCCGGCGGAAGGCTCTGATCGTTCAGGCAGAGTCGCAGAGCGAAGAGAGGATGCCGTGGCGTCATGGAGCACAGCTGGTGCCAGGCTGGGAAGTCAAAAATCAGAGTCATGGTCTCCAGCACAATGCTCCGTCCTCAGCCGCCGCCGGGTGAGGCTGAAGGCTGAAAGGCTGAGCTTTCATCACGAAGCTTTGCATTACGCCATGAAGCTGCAGCCTGCAGAAGCAAGAGACCAGAGTGAGAGAGCCTCAGCATCCACATGACCTGCGCTTTGCCTCCCGGCCGTAGTTTGTCCACAGCATCCAAAGCGTCTGGGCAAAGTAATTCTGCATGACAGCGGACCCCGTGCCCGTCGGCCTAGGCCTTTAAAGCTTGCCAGCGAAGCCGTGCCACACGGCAAGGCCCTGCAGCAATTCCTTTGCATGTTTTTGCGGCGAAGTTTTTGTGTCTCTGTCAAAGTGTACGGCATAGTAGCGTCAGTCTGGTAGCCTCTGTGCCGATGTCAAGCTTGATCTTCCTGCGTCGAAACGTTTCCGCGGCGAGACATTCACAATTCTGTTGACCTTCGCTTATCTTCGCTTCGTGAATGTTGCCTTGGACAAGCCTGTCGCAGTTGACACAAGCCTGAGCTGCATAGCAATTTCCGATAATTTCGGGAGGCATCTGCGCGGCTTTTCGCAGGCTCGTTAAGGTGCGCTGCCTTCTTGACGATCTTTAGCACGTTTGCGTGTGTGCGGGTTCATACTAGTGTCCGGAAGGTGCGAGGTTCGGTCAGGGTCACCGGATGTGACAGGACGCGTTCAGGTCTTGACGCGCGCTTGGATCCGGTCAGTTTCGAAGCACATCTTGCAGCCGTACAGATGCCGAAGAGTAGAGTATTCCCGATACACAGGAGGACTCTGCTAGGAGATGCCGTCTGCTCTGACAATTCCAGGCTCTTGGGAACCGATCGCCTTGATCGCCTCGGCTTGCGATCGTGCCGCACAGCCGAGGCGAGCTTGGATAAAGATGCTCGAGGTTTCGGTTCGACTGTGACAGATCTGCAGGTTGTAAGCTGTCGACAGAGTCGACACGACCCTGCCGGCACAACATGCTGCTATATTAAACCAGAAGAGTTTGCAACGGAAAGCTGTGCCATAGCTGGCCTCGGCATCCGTAGCCTTCGCAGACATGCTGAGTTCGTTAACGAAGTAATTACATCAAGTTGGTCAACATGGAAGAGACAGCTAGTTACCTAGAATTGGGTTGATTAAGTTGAGCTCTGTTGCTTAACTGCAGCTTGCACCTGCAGGTTCGTTGACTGATGAAGCAGCAGTGAAGATGCACGATCAGCGATTCGAGAACATCTCCATAGCACGCGGGGTCCTGGACGTGTTTCCGGAGACGGATGTCATGGGGAGAAGACTAACTAGGTGACCCGTTGCAGAGAGCATGCCGTGCTCCAAGCAATACGTACGATAGCTGGTGCACATGTTCGAAGGACTTCGGAATCACGCCGGGTGGCAGGAGCAAAGCTCTGCTAAATGGGTATGGCCGAGTCCAGGACGATGCTCTTTGGAAGTAGCATGACACAACCTGTAGTCCGCTTCTACATGCAACTCATAATGTGGTCATCGAGGTGTAGCAGTGGCCATGTGATGGAGGCCTCGAGAAGATCGCTTACAACTTGGGCAGTAAGATGCAGATTGTGTTGCAACAAAGTTGTTGAAGCTGAAGCTGACTCCACCGGACTGGTAGAAATTAGGGGAGCTGCGGATCTCCGCCAGCGCATGCTTACGGCCAGCTTGCGGCCAACAGCATCGAGTCTCACTGCGGTCAGGCTTTGTGAAGTTGCCGCCGAGGAAATGCCAAATACCACTGCATGCTTTGTCTCTTCCACGACACAGCCAGATGGCATTGTACTGGCAGGTCTGGTGCTCTTTGTCGATGGCTACACGAAGGCCATGCATCCGTTGTAACATACGTACTTTAGGCCAGACGGGCCCAGGAAGTGATCATCACCTCGTGACGAGTTTGCGCAGAGTGGCTGATAGCTGAAGCAAGAACACCTAGGGACCTAGTCACATCTAGTCACCATCAGTAATCAGCACGGAATGACAAGCCTCTGTGTTCAGGTGTCGGATCGGGGCGGGTCTCTGGGAGGCGGGGCATGCTACCCAAAACGGCATCCGGACAGTGTATTGTCCATGTAGATCTTGGGCGATGAAGAGGTGAGCGTGCCATGGGCCGCAGGGGAGGAGAGCTTGTGGTGCGAGCATGGTAGATGAAATTCGCCTACCCAGAGCTGGGTTTCTCAGGTTCCAGTGCCAAGAAAAAGGGGTTCAAGCTGCGAGCCTCTGGCTTTTTGAAACTGCGAAGTTTGGAGGACTCGCCGTGGCTGCAGTGCTGGCGCTCCTGTCAGAGACGTACCGACTGGCCTCTCGGCCTGAGTATGGTCCTGTGACCCACAGCTGGAATCAATTTGTCTGGAGATTTGTAGGACGAATCTCGCACAGTCTCGACCTTGATTGTCCAATCATCCATCCCTTCATGGCAGACAGCGGGTCTGAGCAGCCGGAGCTCCATTTGGCACGCGCAATCCCATGCAGCAGCGCTTTAATTGTGCTGTTTTGCTCTTTTTCTGCGCTCTGTTCCTGGGTTGTGCATGCAGTGAGGTGCTGCCTTTTGATCTGCCATGTTTGGAGCATGCCGTAAGTGGTTCCTCGTGTAATGTACAGCTCAGTTCATCACCTTGGAAGGAGACATTTCCTGCGTATACATATGTATAGCACCAGCAACAGCTTAGATATAGCCTGGAACCGCTCCGAACCGTTTCGGGAGATGTGTATTTTCAAGTCGGTAGATAGCATTGTTGAGGAAATGTGGTAGCTGCGGTAGCTTGGTCATTTTTCCTTTTCTTGCGATTTTGCAAGGCAGTCTCTCAATCAAAGAAGGAGGCCCATGATTGCAGTGCAAGACTTGCACATCTATGCGTCAGGTCCAAGACTTGCTTGTGAGTGTCAGTCTTAACGGACGAGGAGGTAGAACTGCAAGATTCCGTATGCTTGAGGCTGTGTATTCCGCTTTGTCGTACCTGAGCTCACAGCTCCTTGTGCTCGGCTCGGGCAAGACCCTGCAGTAAATGCACAGGGATCAGGGCTGAGAGCGAAGCGATGGTAGTTTCCAAAGATATGCAGAAATATGCAAGCACGAACATCTGCAATCTTCGGCGCTTGCCATGGTCAGCTCGGTCGTTTTTGGCAGTCAGCCTTGGATGCAAGTGTCTGCCATGAAGCCCTTTCGCGGCCACTGACTTGAGGTGGCAGCCCTCCGACCGGACATTGTCCGTGCCGTGGCCTCTTGGCAGGCCTTCTCACACAAAGCCTTCCACATCTAGGAATCTAGTCAGCAGCACGCATCAGATCTCCGTGTTTCAAGCTACATATAAGTGTATTGATAGTTGCCACCACACGACAAGTAGTTCGATTCACCCTTGCAGTTTGCTGGGTTGCTGTTGCCGTAGGTTGTTGGTGTTTCAATTTTGCTGATCGCTGAAAGGAAGACCTCCGTCATTCAGCCTGGTCTCGGTGTCGGGGTGCCGCTGGTGGCTCAGCCAGGACGAGCCGAATTTGGGATGTCAAGTCGTGTAGCCAACGACCCTGAGACCAGGAAGATCCACATCCCCAAAGACCTCAGCCAAATAACGGCATAATTGAAACCCCACTCGGCACTCTTCATTCCGGCGACTGCTCCGGTGCAATCGATACAGTGCAGCCTTTTATCAAGATGTCCCGTTGTCAAGTTGGGCAGAACGAAAGCCGGTCGGAGACTCCTCTATCTTTCAAGCTCCCCGTCTTTCTCTCTCCCCCTCCGTCCCTGACACTCTCCTCTCACTGTTCTCTCCCTCTGTCTCTCTCTCTCTCTCTCCCTCTCTCTCTCCCTCTCTCTCTCTCTCTCTCTCTCTCTCTCTCTCTCTCTCTCTCTCTCTCTCTCTCTCTCTCTCTCTCTCTCTCTCTCTCTCTCTCTCTCTCTCTCTCTCTCTCTCTCTCTCATGCACTGCCACAAGCCGCTCTCGCAAAGCATCGTGCTAGCCTAACTTGGCGGACGTGATTCAGGTCCGGGTTGCCTGCCTCTGTGGTGCCTGTTCCTGGTGAGCCCTGAGCTTCGCTGTGATGCGACGTTCCGAGCATGCTGCGCCCCAGGTTCCACGCTTACTTGCTTTGAGAACGGCCAGTGCCGCATTTTACCTTTTGAGGCTCAGTCACAGAGTTCGGCATAGAGGCTCTCCAGCCCAAAGAATCCACGACCAGTCCACTGCAGATTGTCTGGCAATCTGGCCACCCACAGCTTAGTTTACGTCGAAGCGTGAGCCCGCATGTGCCATGTGGGTGCGAGTCAACGTCCGCGACAAGCAGCCTGCCAAAGAGAAGAAGCAGGAACTGCGGATTCTGCGGATATGGGTCGAGGAGACAACCAGAGTGCATCGAGGCTTAAAGCGGCTTTTGGAAGGGGCGCTCCCTTTCGGGGAGCTTTGCAGTGTCTCGTTTCATCCCAGCGGAACTGTCAACAGACTGCACCACCGTGTCTTCAACTGTGGATTCCCCAACGGCTGGAGCTGCCACTTCGCCACTAAAGGTCCATGTCCTATTTGCGCTCGACCCAGAAGTCATCGTAGATGTAGTATAGAGCGACTACCACCTTCTGTTTGTAGGCAGAGCCTACGGCTGATAACCTGCGTGAGGGTTTGGTATCAATGATACTGTATGTGTACTCACCTCACCGAGCGTGATGGTGCAAACGCGTGGTGGCTCCACGATACCCTGCATGTCCTGCGATTAGCGGGAAAACGAAAAAAGCCGGCCGGGCCCAGGCTTGAGCTCCGCGAGCGGCTCCTCGATGAGCTCATCGAAGCTCGGCTTGCGAAGGCCGAGGCGAGTTTTAGCGTGTGAGTTGTTTTATAAAAACCCAACTCACAAGCAAAAACTCAGAGCGAGACGCGGTGGTCTTCGCCCCTTGCCAAGGACGGCTCTGCGATCGCAGAGCCGAAGCGGAGCGATGGCAAGTTGTCGCTCCAGCTTATCTTCAGTGGCCAGATCCTCGCCGTGGATGACGAGAGAGCCCTGAGCATTTCGGTGGCAGATGGCTTTCCCAACTTAAACAGACAGAGCTGAGCTCAGTCATCAGGCCCGAGCTGAAAGGGTGGCTTTGGAGGGCTCAGAGCCTTTAAAGAATCTTCAATGATAGGAAGCTAGCCCAAGACACGCCAGCAGGCGAGATTGGGATCAAGCAAGACGCTTTGGTCCACTGCTTGGCTTCGTTGCATGGCATTGTCACAGCACCGTTTCACGAAGTAGGTACACATGTAAACATACAGCACACAAGACATGCCTGCTCTTTGTAGTCTCGTGATGGCGGGCTTACATGGAAGTTTGACATGATGCACAGTGTTTGTGTGTTATTCCCAAAGTCCCTCCGGGGTTGGGTTCTTGTTCAGTCTTTCCTCCCGCGGGGCAGCATTCAGTCCTGCTTGGGGCTGCTGTACGAGAAGCACTTCAATCCTGATGTTGTGCCGTTCGGGTCTCGCAGCGTTCTCTGTCCAATTAAATCATGAGTTAATTGCGCTTTGCCGCAGGGGTCCACCACGGCCCCATGCCGGGCAATTAGCTCCAGAGTTTAGGTTTTGTCAACTCTTGGGTTCACTGCCTTATCGGGGCTGGAAAGGCACTGGGCGCGGAGTGTTGCGACCTTACGCAGGCTTCCTGTTGTTGTAATTAACTCTAGAGAACGGTTTGGGTTTTGGGTTGCCGGCTTGACCTTGCTTTGTGTGCTGCTGTAGCATGGAGTGCTGGATGGTAACATGGTATGGGCATGGGTGTACTCGCATTCTTGTTTCAGAAGCAGTTCGTAAAATAGCTGAGTTGCTTAGGTTCGATTACATATGACATCCAAGCATCTACGCATACCGGTATTCACAGTGCAGGTGCGTGTGCACAAGCTGTGATAGTTGTTGAGTGATGTGATCAGTTGAGGTTTACATGCGGTGTGAATACCTCTATACATGCTTGAAGATAACATGAATGCTTGTGCGGAAGATCAGTGCATTCGTGCAGTCTTACAGCCATACTCTGGACCATACATGTAATGCACATAGTCCGTGCAAGGTGAGCAGCGTGCAACATTTACGTAATGCATGCCATGCATGCACTACTGTTTCGCTTGACATGGATGCAGGGGCCGTTTCTCAGCATTGGCATCACAAGGGTCGGGCGAGGGTATCCGGCGCCGTAGGTGGGAAGGTGGCAAGGTTGATTGTGGATGTCACGAGGCTCGATGAGGAATAACACCAGGACCCGAGACAGTTCAGCACTTGTGCAATCCAGGTTGATTGTGGAGATGGAGGGGCAGCAGCAACTGACCTGCTTTCCCAAGCATTGCACCGTTGACGGCGGCCGGATTGTCCATGTCGTGGGTGCCGCTGGGCCAAAGCCATTGCAAAACGTATGGTTGTGGCAAGGGGCTCACCCTTGTCTCCAATGATGCATGACTCTGAATGACTCTGCGGAAATTCAAGAGTTGCTGTGCTGCTTGTCTTTCCTAGAGGGATCGAGCCGATAACTCTTCAGACCAAGGCGTCCTAAATCGGATCAAATCCGCTTGCAGTCGTTGACCTGGGCACAAGGAGCACTTCCCTGACACAGATCGAGCAGCCTGCCGGTTCGGTCGTGTGGATTCTTGACTAAAGCAGCCTGTGCAGGCGAAGCACGCATAATATGCGTAAAGAGTGTTGTAAGGCTACAGTTCGGGTGGCCATTAGTTTGGTGAAAGACGGAGCCTCGAGTTCGTAACTCTTACACAGTTGGGACCAGCGTCAACTGCTCGGCCCTGCGCGCCGACTAGGTGACCAGTGCCAGTATAGAGGATGATGGTATCGAAGGAGGAGTGTCACAGCTACTTGGCATTGCTTGGCCCTGCCAGCCTTCTGGAAATCGCCGTGCAGTTCTCTGCTTCGTTGATGTGTTTCCGTGCAAACGACAGGCTGTCCTTCTGGGCCGTGCTATGTAATGATGACACAGCTCACAGTCCAAGAGTGTTGCGTGGAGATGACAGACCTGAAACGATTTCCAAGTTCAAACTCAGCGTGGAGAGACTGCTGTGCGCATGCATTTGTCAGTCTGTCTGTCTGTCTTGATTCAGATAGTCCATGCAAGTTGAGGGAAGGAGCATTCGGGACACTCCCCAGTGCATCCTAGCGCTTACTGCTCCTGCCCAGTCAGCTCCTGTCCCTCAGTGAGAGGCGCTGCCGGCTAGCAAGGATTCAGTTTCTTCACACACAGGCGCATGTAAGAATAGCCGGAACCGCGGGGAGAACACGCATTTCAGTGTTGCACAGAGACGACGCAACCGGCTTCACAAAAGTGGTAACCCCTGCTAATGCAGTTCCTTGCTTGAGCCCCCGAAGTGCCTTGATCTGCCAGCATGAAAATTTGTACTTGAGCTATGCACGTCCATTTGCACATGGATGCACATGGCCGAGGCTCAGATGCATTGCGCCTGCACACCCGGCCGGGTGATTCAACTGCAATTCATCCTAGGATGGTGTCTGCTGAGTCGGTGCAAACGCGGTTGAAGCCTGCCAATCCCGCCTCTAAGACCTGTGACTCTCAGCCTGTCCTTCGATGGCGGTGCGACATGGATGGAAGGCATCGTGCCGTTTTTGCAGACACGAGATGGCTCCCAGACTTAGCTCCCCTCACTGGCCCTTCATGATTGACGGCAGGACCCACGTTTTGGTACTATGATCCTGCCGTCTGCAGCGCTGGCTACAGTCTCCAGAAGGCAACGAGAATCCCCGGCTTGACTAAGTGTTCTCGTCCTGAGCATGGCTCAGATTGCACCGAGAATCCAGCTGGATGAACATCTTTCGAAGATCCTATGACTTTCACCATCAATCGGAGCCGCAGTTTTGCGAAGGCGATCTTACTTGTGGATTGCGGGACGACATACAATGACTCCAAGGCTTGTGTGTTCCAGCGGAGTGCGGCGCCGGCTCGCTCCCGGTCCGCGATGCCATCAGGAGACTCTGCATTGTCGGATTTCGATCACAGGATCTGGCAGGTTTTGGTAGGGCGAGCTGTCGGGTCCGAATTGGAAGCCTAGGCCTAAACCGGGGCAAGCACTGCCAGGTCGTCTCTCAGTCACAGGCACGTAACATTATCCGCATCTTTCTGCGAAAGTGAGCAGGATCACGAATCAGGGCGGAGCGATCTAAATGCCCGCACCAGAGCAGGGCTGATGACGAACCTCGTGCAAACTCAACAACTGCCTTGCTTGCCTCCTTTGCCGGCCGCGAATGCCAAACTTCGGAAACGGTTCCGATGGCACGAGAGCATGTCAAACGGCAGGAATCCGTTCGTGGTTGCAGCCGTAGCAACCCATCGACTTTACGCATGCGCCGCTTACAACCTCTTAGTGGCATGTCTGATGGCCAGAGGTGTGGCGTTTGTGATTAGCGCTCTGCAGCTGACGTGTGAGCTTGATGCTGTATGCTTCTTATCATATGTGTAGTGTAGTGCCATCCGTCACCAAGCAACGCCGAAAGCCTGGTGTCCTTATCAAGAGGTGAATTAGGTCAGCATCAGCTTGTGTGGGATGGCAGTAGGTCAGTAGGATGCACTGTAGTAATTAGTTGTGACAGTGCATTTCCTTCAGTTGTACAAACATTGATCCGTGGCCCCAACTCTTGCTTGTCAGGCCCTGCACTTGCACTTGCCCAGTTTTATCGTGCACTCGGGATTCCCACAAAGGGCCGAGGCGGATCCTTTCAAGCAACAGCTGGGGCGCATGCATGTGCCCTCCTGCCTTTTAGTCGTTGTATCCGAAGCCGACTCGCCCTGCCCTGTCAGCAAGACTTTAAAATCGGTGCAAACTGGCTTGTTGCATTCGCTGTGCTACCCATTGGCATGGCAGTTGCAGATTGCTCTCCTGCATAGCTGTCGTACCCTTTTTACATGTGCAAGCATAGCCCTGATGGTCTGCCCTCATGGTCCGGCTTCATCATGGAGCCATGCCGCGCACACCCCCTGCTGCTTGAAGTGCTGTCCTGGCAGGTATGTGCCCCGATCCTGGCTGTCGCAGGCCATTCTTTGGAGCCCAGATTTAGAATCTAGAAACTCCCCATAACTCAATTTCACCCCCTCTCAAGCGGCGCGCTTGGGAGGCAACTGGCAAGGTGGAGAAGGTCCCCGCTGTGGCAAATGTAATGGGAGACTCGAGGGTGCAGCGCAACAGCAAACCGTAAACCCATGGACCGTTGCAGGTGCGCTTCTCGGCCGATGCCGCAACTCATTTTTGCCTTGCAGAGGGCTCATGGTCAGTGTGAACCGACAGCTGGAACTGAACCTGAACCCTTGGCCTCGGGGCCTAGCATTGCATCCCAATTGGTGAAACAGAAATCCTGAGGCCAACTTACCCCCCAACCCTGTAGCCACTGTAGCCCAAAGCGTTGTAATGCGGCTTGAGCTCTTGACGCCATGTCGAAGAGGAAAACCATCTGCCATGCAAGCGCTGCTTCCGGCAACATCAAAGTCTGTGCCATGGTGGAGCATTTCTGAAGTGAGGTTTTCTTGCGACAGACAGAAGCCTGCATTCGTCAGTCTTTGCTCTAGCAGACCTTCTGCGAGTGGCCAAATCTCGGCATGTTCAAAATCACTTGATGCAACTCCTTCGACCAGAAGGTGCTCTGAGAGATTCTTATCAGCAGCCATTACCGATAGGTGTCCGGGTGAGACCATTCGTGGAGCGCGAGCATGGAGAGAGATGCTGTGCCTGCTCCCGAGATTCCAGTCAGAGTTTGAAGTCCCAGCAGCGAATGCATGGTCTGCCGCACGGACGATTGAGAAGGTCCAGATGCCTAGCGATTCGCAAGTCACTTTGGATGACTGCACCTGGCTGAGTGTTTGTGTTTGTCAATGTGTGCTTTTCCGTCGGAGGGCAGCTGTACTGAGCTGTTAACTCCAGGCCTGGAGCACATGTCCTCGCTGCGAGTCTTTGACTACGAACCTTGGCTTGGCTTCGATGCAGAGAGGTGTAAGGCAGTGGCTGCATTGCCTGAACAGTGCCTTGTCGTGAATCTCAGTCTTCTAACGTAGCCTTCAAGGCAGGTGCCTCGAACGGAGAACTCCCATCTCTGTCGTTCCTATTTCTGAGGACCGCGCTTACTGGTCCTGCGACAACAGCCATCCGAGCTGTGCCTCCGCCAGAAACGAAGTCCGAAGCTTCCTCTTTACATGCGGTGCCTCGTGTTTGTCTTGTCCTGACCTGCCTCGGCTGCGATGCGAAGTTGTGGGGCCCCCACCAAGGTGCCACACAGCAGACTTTGATGGCCCTGCACTCAGTGTCAAGTCACAGCTTCTTGCAACCGTGCCATGAACTTCAGACATCCTTGCACTGCCAGGATGAGCTCGGCTGCGGCCTTACCAGGGCCGTTCAAGCTCCGGTGGTTTTCGAAGGAACTCAGGCGTTTTGCCAAGGTCAAGGGGAGCAAGCAAGATATCCTTCAGCATTTTCCGTTGGAAATTACGATGAGAATGAGCATGTGCGGGATTCAACAGAGATCTTGCAGAGATAGGAGTGAGGCATGCGCATGGCTGGGTTGACCTGCGATCATGGAAGCACACCCAACCAACTGGTAGCTTCTCGACTGCTAAACCCATCCGTAAATGAGCGCCGCCAGGGTCACTGTTTAACGGCCCGAGGTGAAGCGATTCTGGACAACGCCATGGACGGCTTCAATAATTGCCTCTTCGCCTATGGGCAGACGGGTTCCGGGAAGACCCACTCGGTGCTCGGTGCCTCGACGCTTGAGCTTGGGGGCACCGCACTTGTGAGAGACCTTCAAAGACCTGTGCAAACTGGCAAGGCGCCGACGATCAACCCGAAAATCGAGGGCTCCTTCCGCCACTGGCCATGAGCTGGGAGTGTCCGTGACCCACAGAAGTAGAGCTCATGAAGCAATACCTATGACTTGCTTATGGCCCACCAACTGCAGTCACGCTGTTCCACTTGGATGCCGTCGGTTGCAGAGGGCTTAATATGGGCTTGCACCTTGCGTTTGGAGGCGAATCCTTCTAGAACTCTTCCGGCGCATCGAGACCATGCGCGGCGCGAAGGATGCAAAGGTCCAATTCCAGTGTCAGGCATGGCATGGCGATGGTACCGGTAGCATCTAGAAGCCTCAGTACAGAATGCAGGTGTCCTACCTTGAGATCTACAACGCGGCTTAACAGCATCTTAGCAAAGAGCGCTTGAGTGGAGCTTGATGAACTTTCCATGTCGTGGGTGTAGATGGACAGCAGCGGTGACTACTGTAGCTAATCAATCAAATCAAGAACTTCTGGATCTGACCGGTCTGAAGCCGCACCAATGCTGTTCTTCAGGAGCAAATCCGTGATCTGCTTGTACCTTTGACAGACAAGCCGGCGAAGCTGACGGCAGCTCGGCTGGCATGGAAAAGCTGGTGGCCCACAACACGTAAACAGAAGATTTTGCTGGTTCGGCTCACGAGGTTTGTAGATCGCGAGACCACATTGACATGGCACGTTCGACGTGAAAGTCGCATCGGCTCTTCTCGCAGACCAGAGCCAGAGAGCACATGCTCAAAGACTGCCTTGTTGTGAGTCGCCAAAGCAGTCTCCGGATATCAGGGTTGTCGTGAAGGTGACGTGTGTGGAATGTTCTCAGGGTTCACTCGAGCTGAATCAAACGCGTAATTTGGATGCAGGGGTTCTGCCGCTGCCACCTCCAGTGGCATGTGCCAGTGATTAACCCGTGGATTGTCGGGGCGAGATGACGTTCATCGTGCTGCCACATCAATCTTCCAAGTTCATTAAGTACTCGTAGGAGTCGTCTTGAAAGTAACTACAGGTCAGGCATTGGAATTTGCTCGGCTGTATCTATAGTGTGACTGCTGTTGACAAAGGTGAAGTTGCGGGCGACGCATCCTGAGGTGCGTAACCATCCGAAGTTGGGGACCTATGTTGGCGGCTTGACGACGAACGCGGTCCCTTTGCTGGCAGCGTTATGATGTCCTGATGCCTGCTGATATCGCGCTTATGTCCGACTCGGCCGTTGTTGGACAGTGCTGCTGCTAATGGTTATGATCCAAAGGAGTGTGGAGGCTTTGTGCAGTGAAGTTTGCAAGGTAGGGATGTAGAATGATGTAGACATGCGAGACCCGGTAGAAGACTCAACTTGAAGCACTGGCTGCGATGCCGAAGTGATCAGGGGCTGCAGAACTCGGGCGAGACACATTGAGGTAGGTGAGCTGGGCTGCCGGTAGCGAATTGTATTCAACGTCGGGACGTTCCGGATGCCGGGCAAGATTCCGATGCAACCATGTGTGCGACCAGCCATACAGTCTCAAGTCATTTTAAGCTCTCAGTTTCATTTTCCAACGGTCGCCACGGTTAGGATGGCTTCCGGCGGCGAGAGCATCACCGAGTCGCGCTTGGCTCCCACATTGTTGGAGCGTCGAAAAGAGTCGTCGAGTGACCAGGCGAAAGTTGGCAATTGCTGCAAGGGAACGGGGTTCGGGTCACCCTTGGAGGCCAAGAATGCCGGTGTCGTGGAGGAACTCCTGTACATTCCTGCGGTGCAGATGGAGAAGGGGCTGAAGCCAGACTATTTGGCAACGGTAGATGTGAACCCAAATAGCCCGAGCTACTGCCAAGTGATCCACCGGCTGCACATGGCAGAGCCAGGCGACGAGTTACATCACCTTGGTTGGAATGCCTGCTCTAGTTGCCGAGGGCAGGTGGGAAGGCCCACGCACTCCTTCATCATTGCTCCCGGTGTGTTATCTGGCAACATTCACATCATCGACGTGCGGTCGGACCCGCGTGCACCCAAGCTTCACAAAACCATCCCAGGGGCTGAGATCTTGGCCAAGACGGGTGCTGCGCTGCCGCACACCGCACATTGCGCGCCGGACGAGATCATCATGTCATTTATGGGCAGTGGTAACGTGAAGCAGGGGTTCGAGCCTCACGGCGCAGGCTTTGTGTGCTTCGACCCCAAGACCTTCGAGATCAAGCAGCGCTGGGAAGCTCCAGAAAATCCCACACGCTTCGGATACGACTTCTGGTACCAGCCACGACACAATGTGATGGTCTCCTCGGAGTGGGGAGACCCGGCATGCTTCACGAAGGGCTTCAATCCTGCACATGTCGCGGAAGGACGCTACGGCAGCAAACTCTACATCTGGGATTGGACCGACCGCACCCTGAAGCAGGAATTGGATGTGGGAGCCGGCTCCATTCCTCTGGAGGTTCGCTTCCTCCATGACCCCGACAAAGCGGAGGGCTACACGGGCTGTGCTCTCAGCTCCGAGATGGTTCGATTCAGGAAAACAGAGGAGGGTCAGTGGGAGGCCAAGACGGTAATCAAGGTGGATTCCATCCCAGTGGAGGGCTGGGCCTTGCCGGAAATGCCAGGCCTCATCACAGACTTCCTGATCTCCATGGACGACCGCTTCATCTTCCTCTCCAACTGGCTCCATGGCGACGTGCGCCAGTACGACATCACCGGTGAAGAGCCCAAGCTCGTCGGGCAATTCTTCGTTGGTGGCTCAATGAAGCGTGGAGGCTCCGTCACTCGCAAGGATGGCGAGTCTCAGCCTGAGCCGTTGGTCGTGAAGGGGGTGGAGGTGCAAGGCGCTGGGCCCGGAAATTTGGGGACCTAGGAACCTGGTAGGGACACGTACGGACCCGTCCCAGCCCAAACTCTTGAAGACGTGATGCTTTCGCCAGGTGGTGCCCAGATGGTCCAGCTCTCCCTGGACTCGTGTCAGTCGAGTCGGAACGAAGTTTTGCTTTTGCGATTTTTCAACTTCACCGGATTGAGGGAGGTGTCAGGTTTTCGCACAGTCTCGGTCCATGGTGCTTGGGTACCTAGGATGGCAAGCGCCTCTACGTGTCCACCTCCCTCTTTTCATCTTGGGACAAGCAGTTCTACCCGGATATGGCCGCTCGGGGGGCCCAAGTCATTCAGCTTGACGTGGACACCGAGAAAGGCGGGCTGACACTCAACCCAAACTTCCTGGTGGACTTCGGGAACGAGCCAGATGGTCCCGTTCTGTGCCATGAGATGCGCCTCCCCGGGGGCGACTGCACCAGCGACATTTTTCTTTGATCGGGACCGGAGGGACCGGACCCGGCGGCCCCCCGGGCCCCGATAAGAGAA